CACTTTTCATCGTAGAAAATCATCGCCCTGCAGTGACATCGACTGAGTTCAATCCCTGCAGTAGTTTACTTTTGAACTTAGTTTGGCCGGATAGAAGTTGCAGCATTTAGGATACGTAGTCGGCACGATCCATAACCACAATACCTGTCCCTTCGTTAGGTTTTTCTGAGAGAATTCCTCTCGACCAATATCATTTTGAGATCTCTCAGGATCACTACCACACACATGATTTAACCACCCGTCTATTTGACCCTACTAAAAATGTTTGATATAAATGTGATCGTGAAGGCTTAAAGAGGAATTCGCCGAAAACTTGTGTTCACCTAAATTGTTCCTAATCAATGGACATATTTCGTGTTTTAACATTTAGTATTCCCGAATATTCCTTTTCCCCAAAGAGGATCATCTCGTATCTATAGGGTTTTCTGAACTGAGACACATTCACGGTTTGAGAGGCACAAACCACACGGAAACCGCGTGTCTGCAGTACGGTCAAATTCAAATGGAGTTTTCCGGTGGAAGAAAGTCTGTAGAATCAGACAGAGGTGGCGTATCCATTCCGTATTTGCATTACTGTGATTTCAACATCATACCATTGGACCATGTGGGCTGGGAGCACACTGAAAAGGTGAGAATCCCACTTCCTCGGAACAGTGAACACAAGAGTACCTACCACTCAGAAAAGTGCTCACAACCAGCAGACCACAACGGCAGGCAATGAGAAGTCCGGGTTTTCGCGAACGGTGCTCAATTGAAATTCGATATACGTCACTGTATCTCTCTCTGTCTGGTGGTCAAATTTCAGGGACAATGAAAAGCTATGACAAAGAAGTAGTGTTCTCACTTTTTGATCAATAGTATAGATGTGAAGTTTTTTCTGTCTCTGCTATTACACACTGAATAACGTCAAGAAAAAAAAACAGATTCGGAGGCCTTTCAAGCGTGATTGATAAAGTGGTATGATGTAATCAATCCCTTCTAATCACAATCCCATACAATTCATGGTTGTTTATACTGTTCTGGGCGTCTTTTCTGCACTCTGGTAGGTTAGCCAAGGTGTTACGGAACTTTACTATTTCTCAAGCAAGCTAACTTTGCATAAAAAATAACGTCAGTGAAGCTGTGTATATGGCAGAGGCATTTTCGACTTTGTTAACGACATGCTCCTGAACAGAGAGACTGCAGATTGGGTTAAACAGTTTGCTTCATAGTATATGGTAAAGTCCTGATAAACGAAGTAAATCGTTCACGATCACCCAGTTAAAGTACACGGCAGCCGACTAATCAACGATTGGAGAATTTCGGTACGATCACGTGCAGTGGACGGTAGTGTTTTACACAATTTGACATTCATGGTTGTACGCGGTCAGAAAACAAACGCGCAAGATTAGCAGTTGTTCAAACTGAGACAGCCTTCTGGTCAGAAATCAGCGAGATTAGCGAAAAGGTGGGTTACAGCCCAAGCCTGATTAGTTTACGGTGATCAGGCGTGCCGTCAAGCTGTCATTCTTAAGGAAATACGAGATTACAGGTTTGATCATCACCGGAGATTGCACTTCTTGTCTGGTGAAGGTTATTTCAAACGACAGACAAATTGTGAACGGATAACACTTAGTGGAATACTGAACAGACCGAAATTAAAAGTGCGTAAAATCGGACTTTCAGATTGTGAAAATTCGTATTTGACGAGGCAAATCGGACCAAGAAAAAAAGAAATGAGTATACATATGGGGGTTAGAAATCAGGCGAATATCAGTTAAATCAGCGTGAAGTTTGTGGTGAAGGAGAAAGAACTCATGTGGATGTGTGGGCAGCCAAGCCAGGCACACGTGACAGAAAGGGGTCGCTTCGAACATGTGAAGCCAGTATGTTGATTGCCTGTTCTGAACGTGAAAGCGAGAGATAGAAGGAAGACGGATTGTTTAGAAGGAGTGGTTCACGTTGCTTCGTCCCGAAGCAGCCATGTACGTGTTAGGCACCGAGTAGAGGAAAAAGATGAAAAACAGTTAACCTCGACTCGGGATTCAGTGTGGCATCACAAAAAGCGGTACAAGCAACCAGTCGGTTGGGACGCGCAAGTCCAACCAACCAGTGTGTCACACAAAGCGAACGTTATGGGTACACCACAAATGCACATTGTTCCCGTTTCGTTCAAGTAATGAAATCAGTTGGTCGGGTGGGTGAGTGTGTAAATCAAGTTTAATATCGTAGTTCATGACCGTTCTCGACTGCCTCTGTCCCGGAGCTCCGTTTGGACGGCGGCACCAAGTGTGCGGGTAGGACTGAGGGTAAATCTTCTCCGTCCAATTGAAGCTTGATTAAGTGGCAGACTAGTGCAAATTCTTCATCATCCAAACAACCGTCCCGATCCACATCACCCAGTATCCAGATTTTTCGCAGTGTGCTACTTGGCAACTGTGATTTGATCATGTGCGAACGAGCGGACTCGCCGCTGATTTTTCCGTTCACCGGATTTAGAGTCAGGAAAATCTGATGTGGGACATGAATCAAAGTAAAAAAGGAAAGATTATCATTAAACTTATGGAAAATCATGATTGCGTGAAGTGACATGGAAACTGAACAGTGCACAGACGACTCACCGCATCTGTTTTCTCCTTCTCGCGTCCGACGATCCAGTCAGATTCAAACATGCCTTGATTGATTCCTTCACTAGCTTGATAACTGAATGGCGTGTGCTGTGAGTCGAACGCGCCACCACGGACTGGTGGTTCGGGAATTTTGCTGACCGCTTTTTGCTCCTTCAGTTCAGAAGGGAAAGAATATAATAAGTGGTCAGTAACGGAAAGAATACGGAGTGCAGGAGCTAAAAGAAATGGGGATCGATATACAGTGAGGAATAGTCAACTCATTGCCTCGCTGTTTCACAAGGTATGAATGAAATACTGTGATTTGACCATACACATGATATTCCAAAGGCATAATTGGACGTTCTAAATCGCAAATCTATCGTGATTTGGAGGAATCAAAGTTTTCAAGTGGCTGATGAAGAACAACAAGGGAGACGATCAAACGATAAGCGGAGCGAAATTGTACTTGTGTGCACATGCGTTTTATCTGTTCACCGATTAGGACAATTCATTTCTGCCTCGTCTAAGGGTCGAGCAGACATGACCAGAGTTTGGGTTATGGCCCATCATGCGCGAACGTAAAGCTGGCCTATGAGAACCGGCTTGCTTCATTTCACCATACACTAATTAACATTGAAAAATGATACTGTTAGAAAAAAAGAAAATTTTTTTCTCTTGCTATTTGACTCAACATGCATTGATTCTACTAACAACCTTACGAAGCATTGTGTAATAGATAAAAAAATCGAAGTAACTGAGGTATCATTAACCTTACGAATCGCATCGTGCTGGATGCAATTTCATTATGAATGAACGATCAACGACTGGCTCCTTATCTCCGAAAGATCTCGTGTAATTTATCCAGTTCTCCTGGCAGAATCTATCCAACATGGCTTGCTATGAGTGTCATTATTATTTTTCATCAACAGAAATTCTCTTGACTTTGAACTGCAACGCAGATCACCGGGAAACGTGGAGTCACACAACTGGGCCATACGGCACCGAATCGACCGCGAGGGTCATAAGTGTGCGATGCCATAGGCAAATATAAGCGACAGAATGAATTAGTAAAGAGAAGAGTGAGGAGCCGTATTGTTGCTAGGTGAGGGTGTATGCGTGCATTTTTGTCGAAGAGAAAGATGGGTGAACCCACCCGTTTTGTGTGGTTGAGAAGTCGATGTGAGCTACGCGAGAGTGAATGAAGAGTGATAATCTGCTAAGTATGTGGGTTTTATCAATGGAATGAACATAGTTAGGAAAATAGTTTGTGACAAACGATAAGAAACAAAGTGTCGAGGGAAACTGAGTCTAAACCATGGCCGATCGGAGTCGAAATGTGTTTAAAAGAAGAAAGTCATTGACAGAAACACAGAATAAACAATAAAACAAAATAAATCTGGTTTATACATCATTCAGAATAGAGTTGGATGAGTGAAAATACAAAAGACACTAATAACATTGCCCAGATAGACCAGAGTGGAGTTCATTTTTTGTCCAGTCGAGGGAAACTCTGTTGGGAACGATCGACTAGTGTGTACAAGAATGCGAAAATACATTATTAGACGAAATTTTCACCTATCGCAATTTCATAGATTACAGGCGGAACGGGGGAGAGAGAGAGTAATTATGATGACACAAGGAAGCGGTGTTTCATTGAGTCGGGAACCCGCCGACATGTACAACGCTCGAAACTGGTAGGTTCGTTGATCACAGGCAGGGAATGGTGAAGGCGCCGCATCGTTCGATTGGGAAAACACAATGATCCATGGATGCTGTACAGATTGAAATGAGATCCTATTTTAACATTGGTGTCCCGATGGTTTTATATTGGGGTTGAAACATGAACCCATGTTGTGGTATGCTAATTGAAAACATGAAAGCAATGACAACAGACGTCCGACAGTAGCAAATTCGACTAAGTACCGTGTGAACTTTGCTATAGTTAGCGTTCTTTCAGGACTAACATACTTGCAAATCAAATACAGGTCGTCTGAAGGTTACAAAAGGCGTCTCCGATAAGCGAAGAGGTGATTCCGTAGTTCTTGCTATGCCGATACAAAAGATAACGTGAATTTGTGGTGTGAAACTGGAGCTTGAACAGAGTAGGTAGATTCATGCTCGTGCACTACTCACGTGAAGGTGGTCTCCTAAGCGCAATTGTATTTTTTTTTAGAAATTAATCTGTCACCACTTTGAGGTAGATGAAAATTTGCTAGGTCATTTGTGGACACAAAAATACATGTGAACACACGAGTAGATCTCGGGGTAAAACAATTTCGAGTAACAAAAAGAGGCCCGACGTGTACAAAAACTGACAGTGCAGCTTGACCAAACCGGTACCGATTAGAGCAAACAGTTTGATCAGATTGCGAACAGCACTACCGTACGGAGCAACAGACAAATCCACGCTAAAAATGGGGGTGGTCTTCGCATTCTTCTGATCACTTCTTGTATATATTTCACACAAGTCTGAGGCCGGACTGTGCCCAACAAATCATGGTACAATAATCTTTATAAAAAAGAAAAACGTTCCCTGAATTGCATGTGAGCTGAATACTGCCAGACTGCCCAGGTCTATAGGACAGAAGAATAGTGTTCCTTAGAACAACAAGATGCACAGAATTATGACTACAGTGATTCGGAATTCGGCTTCACCTACACATTGTTTGCTGGTGGACCCGATAAACTGTGGAGCAATGTATCGCGTAACAAGCGTTGAACGTATTTTTAGGTAGGCATGTGTATCGGATGTTATTGATGATCAACAAAACACAGCTACCAAGACACGCGATTCGTGATGTATCGCACAATTTTCACAGTGACGAACGATACAAATAACTTGCTAACAAAGCATTTGCTTAAAAATGGAAATGAAGCGGGAGCTACGATTGTCCGTCGAGGAGGAAACGTAAATGCAGGGCACAGTGAAAAGAGCTACGTAAAATGTATGCCTAGGACTGTCCATCATGCTTGTAATTACTTCCGGTCAGAAAATGTACAATGTGGTGATTATTAAGGACTACCTAAAAGGTTCACATGAAACTGTATCGGTCCTCCTGAAATTTGATGCTCGCGTATTCGTGCTGTAGTTTGACTGCGTGATTAGTACAGTAAGCGTATCTGTGTGCACGGATAGTGAGAAGCACGGCGGTATGAACAAGCTTTCACAACGCACTGGTTGGTCGAACCGTTGAAAAACTACATGTTTGTTCCACCAGTAACATACAACACCAACAAGCCTCTACCCATTTTATTCTCTTCATCCTTCTCAGTTTTATTTCTGGAGAGACACCCAAGGATTTGCGACAAAGTGAAAGAAGTTCGAACAAGTCTATAGAGCATTTTATATTCCCATTAAATGGAAACACTTAATGAAATCACTAGTGTTTTTATTCAATAGATCTTCTATAAACCTGATTTGTATTTCATTGAAGACTATACATCTTTTCACTACATGCTTTATTATAATGAAGAGCAGGGGGACGGGCACGCCTCAGGGGAAACGACGACCTAAGACTTGGAACATGGAGAATCAAGAGGGCTCCAATCGGGTAGGCTGGGTATCGAGCCAGATGATAGTGCATCTGACTATCAATGTCTGTTCGGTGGAATGCACTGTTTAGGGAATTTCCATTCAAAAAAGAAGTTGCAGCTGAAATGGAAAGTTCCCATTTGAACGCTGTTCAGATATGCATTTTCCACGTGACTTAACATTACAATGACGGTAAGATGCTCTACCCCGGTCTACGTTCGGGACAATTTTCGTGCGTAGCTATGGGTGCTCACGACAGAAAATTAGTTTTTACACATACTTGAATGGAAAAGGACCAGTAGATCGCTCTGTTGGCACAATGAAGCCGTTCAGCGATTGATCGAAATCACCTCAGTATTCGCTATTTGTGATCGGGAATGCTTGTTCCGATTAAAGTATCATAGCTGTTGTTAAATTGGAAGATTTGTGTTGGTGGTGATCAACTCCAGGTTAGTTTACGCATACCAGTCACTTGTATCGATGTATAGTTGACCTGTATGTGTGCGAATCGGTGACACGAGTGAGGCGAATGAACGGATTGGTTCAGGATACTGTATACCACACATAAAACGTAGAATCTCAAATAGAACGAGGCCATCAATGGTCAGTTAAAATTACCATCTTTGGTTGTGTAAAAACCGTGAATGGTTAATTAATCTGCGATTAGCTTGGAGACTTACGCGGTTGATGAGTATTGCTGAAATACTGCAATTTCTGACCCATAATTACTATTTACTTAAACTACGGTATAAACGTGTACAGATGTAGAGGAACGGTCAGTGAGACATTGTACAAACGTGTGTTTGTGAACTCTCTATTCAAATACGAGAACATCACCCGGACAATTCATTTCTTCAGAGTTCATGACAGATGCCTATGCGTATCGATCTGCATAACTTAGTTTCAAACCAATGGACCAATGCAGATTTTGGATGGCTTGTTTTAAAGGCAACTGAATCCGTCCAAGGATGATTACACGAGACATATTGGAGCACAAACTTGGATTATTTCAGACGCGTTGCCGGAGCACAAACTGAGAAGTTAGCCTGGACGATTTGAGTTTCCACTATAATTTTACCTGTAGGCGACACTTCATTTGAAGATGCGGCTCTAGCTTTCGCACAGCAAGGTGCTATCTCTAGAGCAACGGGGTGATAGCAATGACCCTATTTGGGCCAGATTTACGCGTCTCACGGTATCTACCACAGACCCTTGAAGCTTTTCGTTGCGGTATGATCGCTGGGCAGAAGAAAACAA